GGAAATGTCTGGCTGCTGTAGTGCTGGTAGCTTTCTTCCTGTAAAGTCTCACAAGATTGCTTGTGGAAATGCTTTAGCTGAATGTTGATGGTATGTCAAGTTCAATCAATCAATCAGCAAATGTTTATGGAAAGACTAGAAATTATCAATACTGCTAGATTGACACACCCTTTTGCATTGACCAATGTGTTGTTCAGACAATGTCAGGAAAGCCCCTTGGCTGACCACAGTGATTACATCCTACTGCTTCTGGCTCTTTCTAAATAGATACTTATTAATCCACTAATAAGCACTTATATTGTAGGTATGCATATGCATCTTCTGGTCTACTGAATCAATAAATCAACTTTCATTATTCATCTTCTTCTTTTATTCCTCCTTTTGCTTTGGACTTTGAAAACATAGTCTTGCTTGCAAACTCAGACCAGCCTCAAACCATTCATAACCAGCCTTGTCTGACTGGTTACAGACAGGTGCTTGCCATGCTCAGGCTCTCTTTCCATCTTGTCCACGCTTCTGCTCTTTCAATAACAGATTATATTAATACCTCACATTTGTATAAAACTGTGTGTCTAATAAAGTATTTTAATTTGTGATCTTACTAAAGACACTAATGGATTTCCCATTTTATAGGTGAAGGGACCATACTTCTCTGTCCTACTATAAAGGGATCGAGAATGTTGTCATTGCGTAGAGTGCATGGGTAGCATATACACAATGCTCTGGGTTTGATCTTAGCATTGCATAAAACTAGGCATGATGGTGTATGCCCGTAATTTCAATACTTGGCAAGTAGAAGTAGGAGGATTAGGAGTTCAAGATCATCCTCACCTACCTAACAAGTTCAAGGTCAGTCTGAGCTACATGACACTATGTCTCAAAGAACAAAAAGAAAGAAGCAAGAAAAGAAAGAAAGGAAAAAAGGAAAGACATGGAAGAAAGAAAGAAGAGCTGAGTGTGGTGGCACACGCCTTTAATTCCAGCACTCAGAAGTCAGAGGCAGGTGGGTCTCTGAGTTCAAAGGCAACCTGGTTTACAGAGAGAGTTCCAGGACAGCCAGGACTACACAGAGCAATCCTATCTTGAAAGATAAAACACAAAACAAAGGAAGGAAGGAAAAATGGCAGGCAGGAAGATTTTGTTTTAGAAATAAATTTTGTTTTGATAAGAAGTAAAATATTTTTTCCTTCAAATTTTCCTATTTTCTGCTTTCATCTCATTCTAAAGCTGAGTTTGGAGCCTGGTGCATTTCTGAGTCCTTTGCTCCTATTCCTGAAGTGGTCACCCAAACTTTAGAGTTTTCGTCAGTTCTCCTTATCTCACAGGAATTGCCTAGTACAAGTTTGTGCGGGCCTGATTAGATTCATGACTTTCCGAGCATGTGTGCTTTGCTGAATTCTAAGACAATATCCACTGTTTGTCTCTTTGGCTCTTCTTTTCACTGTAGCATGGCTGTGGCCCTGCCATTCCACCCAATTCATGACTGACTTTCATGCCACTAAAATCGAAGATATGGTGCCCTCTACCTAAGGCTCAGGGCTCCTTAGAGAAGAGGCGGTAGAAAGAGTGTGAAGGACCTGAGACTGTAAGAAAACATTGTTTTCTGGATACAGCAGGGCAACTGCATGTGTAAATTCACAGAGGTTGCTACAGCACGCACAAATCTGTACAAGTCCAATAGAGAATAAATCTCAGTGTGGAGGTGAGCACAATCCCACCCTCAGCCGTGGAGTTATTGGCAATTGTTAGCTGCTAGCAGAGGGAGAGGGAGTTCTCTCAAAGACTGTAGGTCCTGGTATGTCAACCACACTCCAATGTTAGATCAGACCCTCAAGAACATTTAGGAAGCACAAATTAGTCTTGATGGAAAAAAAAGACACAAAGTTGGATGGGTAAGAAAGAGGGGTGGATCTGAGAAGAGGTAGGAGAGGGGGTAAATACGATCAAAGTACATTGTATGAAACTCTCAAAGAACTTAAAAAAAAGTGGTAAACCAAGTGTCTTAGGAAAGCACTCTGTGACTAAGCTGTACCCCACGCCTGCTGGAAGTTTCGAAAATACTATTTGAATGAATCTTTAAAAAAAAAAAAAAACTCCTCTTTGTCTTTGAATCCTCAGGAAATAGAACAATATAGTGATAAACAAAGCCTGGAAGTGAAGTCGGATTATGTGATGTTGTGGTTTGGAGCCTGGGAATCCTCTAAGACTCATGTGTCAGAGCTGTGATTCCAGAGTGGCAGAGTTAGGAGCTGAGTCTAGTGGGTTGCTATAAGTTATGGCCCATGACACATGACGCATGAAAAGGATTGTGTGATTCTGGTCTCTTCCTCTCTCCCTCACCTTTGGCATAGCAGCCATGAGGTAAGCAGCTTTGCTCCTGCCCAGCTGGAGGCCCAAGGGCAACAGGACTCATTGATCATGGGCTTTCTACAGATGAGCCGAAACAAATAGCTTCCCTTGTTACATTCCTTATCTCAGGTATGTGTAACAGCAATGGAAAGCTCACACTCCTGATTCATTCCATGTGCATTCAGGCAAGGTTCAATACCTTGCTTCATCCACAAGATAAGGACCACACTAGTAGGGGACAAGAGCTGGCTCAGCAATTACAGCACTTGTCCTATAAGCAGCAGCCTAATGACCGGACTTCACATCCCTGGGGACCCGCATCAGTGCCAGTGGTGGTACTAACCTGTCTGTACTTCCAGCGCTCTGGAGACAGAGATGGCAAATCCCTTAATTTTGTAGCTAGACTAGCTGTGCCAGCAGGCCCTGGGTTTAATCGAGGAACCCTGCCTAGATGCATAAGAGAAAGAATGATTGAAGAAGACTGCTGATATCAACCTGCAGCTTCCATTGCACACACGTGTGCATGCATGTCCTTCCACAACTATCTACACACATGCAGATATTCACAGGAAAAAAGAAAGAAGAGATAACAGTAGTATCTGCATCATAGAATATGTGGGAATATTTGATGACTTAATATAAGCAAAGACCTGAGGAAATAGCTAACATATTAGATTAGTTAGTATACTATTAATTTTTTTCTCATTTAATTACAATCTTTTCATTGATATCTGTGATTCCTTCTGAACTTAAATGTCAACTCCATTCACACCTCTCCATCACAGGTCCTTTCTTTAAAATCTTGGTCATCATGTACAACTTCCTTCTTTATGTGTCCACTTTGATGGCTCATATACCTCTTAAGCTCAACTTTACCCTCCCAACTGGTCACCTCTGCACTAGGAAGCACAAGTATCTCATATGCTGCTTAAACTAGAATGCTGAGAATAACCTTCTGTGATGTTAGCACTGATACTGAGTCCTGAGAAGTCAACATCCCATCTCCCTTTATAGCTATATTTAGACCTTGTGAATGGCTGTCACCTGTCATGGGCACTATTGTAGCTTTCAAAGGACTTGATTCTCAGCACTCTGACCTCTTTAATTCCATTGTCTATGCATCTGGGAGAACACACTTTTCAAAGATGAGGAGGTCTTAAGCTTAGAGAATCCTAATGTCTTCTTTACTCTCTCACAGTAAATATGGGCTAACACCTTGGCTGAAGTCTGAAGACACACAGGTCTCAGTTTTCAGTTACCTCATGCTCTTTTGCTTGCATTGGCCATTGTTTTATAGTATGAAAATCATTCAGTCTTCTCAGTTCAGGGTCTGTGCACATGCCACATCTGTGGCTTCTTGACTGTGGCATCACACAGGAAAGCGTCAACTGAACTTCATGAGCAGACATGTGTTATATCCCTCTTGTTTATGCTTAACATGGTTATTCTTTTATATTTCTTCATGGCATTCTTTGATTATGTCTGTCTCATAATAAACTACAAATTCAGCGAGACTGTACCTTCAGGAGACAATGCTGCAACCAGGATTTCACAAATAGATGTTTCTATAGCCACAGGATGAATGAACTTTACCCTTAAGTCTTCTGAGCCCAGCTCTGTGTCTATAGAATAATGCCTGGGACAGTATGGGCCTCATTTTGTAGAAGAGTTACCTGTGTGATATGTACAAGCTAGTTACAACAGAGTTGCTAATAACTCTGCTTAAACCCTGGTATGCTTGAGTAGGCATGGCCACAGAATTTGAAGTCAAATGAATTAGAGATTTGTTAGGGAATTAATTACTTGACTGACACAACTGCAGGAAAAAAGCACTCCAGAACATTCTCTCCTCATAAGATTTCTCAGACTGCAGCATCTTGGCTCTCTATACTCACACATCAACGTGGTAGGACATCAACATGACAGGGTGACTTTTATTAGCTGTGCCACATTTGGGCTGTAATATAGAGTTTGTATTTGAATGCTTTCTTCCCCAAAGAAGTGGCTGTTTCAAATTATGATGACTAAATACAGACTACAGATACTCCCAAAACCACAGTAAGAGAACAAGCTGGGAACTGCATTATTTTATCTTCAGAATGGCCAGAAATGTTTCAATCTTTACTCTTTTGATGACTTCATGGAGAAATACAATGTGGTTGACTTTATAAAAGAGAAAGAGAAGAGAAATTAAGATATTAGAAAAAAGATGGGGGAGAGAGAGGAAGGGAGGAAGGGAAGGAGGGAAGGAGGCAGAAAGAAAGAAAGAAAGAAAGAAAGAAAGAAAGAAAGAAAGAAAGAAAGAAAGAAAGAAAGAAAGAAAGAAAGAGGAACCCCAAGCCTTCTTTTGAATTTTGCCAACCCCATCACAATGCCTAAGAAGAAAGAAATTGTTTTGTGGCTTTGATGTGCAAATGTCAAGACAATAAATTTCTTCCATTACAAAATGATGACTGCCTGGAAAATAATTGTCCTATTAATATTATAGGATTTTTTTAAACCTTTGGACAGTTCATTTAAATGGCCACAAGAGAGCAGTAAGAAATTAAAGCTCAGTCAGTGACTCATAGTCACATTGATGTGGACTTTTTGCTATTAGGAAACTTTGAAAGCCAGATTGACTGATCTTGTTCATAGACTTAGAGAGACAGTCCAGGACTCCATTCTTTCACTTTAAAGCTATTTAGTCAAGAAGGCAATGTTGACACCATCAGTTAATTTCCAGGAAAGAACCTTGAATTAGAGCTCCCAAGAAACCCAAGTTCAGTGTGAAAATGGAAAAATAGTCTCACCTAGCTCACAGGGACGTCTTGAGAAGTTACTGGCCTGCCCCTGTGGAACACGCAAGACAGAAAGGTATGTGGCAACTACACAGTCACATGGGAGATGTGGGCACCTTTTAGAGCATGGCCAGTATTTAAGAATGTCAGCAACCAGGAGCATTTTAAAGTTCTAATTCTACTCTTTCCTCTTGTAGTTTAACTATTGTATAAAGTGGTATATGAAGAGACTGGGGATATTTTTTAAACCCCTTTCCTAATTTCTATATACTCTGCCCTCTTTGCTCACACTAACTTTGCCATTTTTGACAAAGTATATTGGACATCATGAATTTTAAATGTGAATTTAAAAAAACACGAATTCACAGATGACTAGCCACAGCATTAGTATTTGAGATGCTGCTGTGAGTCAGTTCAAGAAAAGACTAACAACTGTCAAAAAAGAAAATGAAGTTATTCCAAGCTCACCTAAAGCAGAGTCATGGTCAATATGCATGTGAGAGTTGGTCATGCTTAAACACTAAATGGCAAAAGGCAGGTTAAAATGGCAAATTTCGTGTGAGTAAATAAGCACAGACTGGAAACAACCACGATGCTCTGTGTTAACAGAAAGATGGCACACAACACGCAGAGCAGATGTGTGAGCACTCATTCAAAGGACAGTTAGAAAAGGAATGTAGGACAACAAGCTTTACAATGTGAATTTCCTTTAACTTAGTCACTTTCTCCCTGGGAATTAATGCTATGGAAACAATCAGACAAACTAAATTTAGAGGATTCAATATAAAAGAGAATTAGAAAAGTAAAAACTATGTCTAAAAGAAAAAAGGCAGTAAAAATAAAGGTATAGGGATGAAGCTGGACTTTGATGAAAGACATTGAAAATATTATAAACATACATGTGCTGTCACTGAAAATGTGGGATACATTTTAATTCATAGTAAGTTTGAAAACATCCTAAGTGATCCAACATAGAGGAAGAACCTGTGGTTGGTTGCATAGGAAAATATCTGTATATCATTTTCAAAGTAGCAATTACTCCTGAGTATGAACCTTAAAAATTATTTCTCTCTCTCTCTCTCTCTCTCTCTCTCTCTCTCTCTCTCTCTCTCTCTCTCTCTCTCTGTGTGTGTGTGTGTGTGTGTGTGTGTGTGTGTGTGTGTGTGTGTTTGCTCTTTTCCACTTTTTCATAGAAGTTGAGATTTTTGTTTCGTTGCTTGCTTTGGTTTTAAAATAATATGTTACTTTCAATTTCAGTAAAAACATAAAAAATCTATTTCTATCCTCAGAGAATCTTAAAAGTTAGTTTGGCAAATTCAAGAAAAGGTTGAAATTTGATCTCCACATATCAAGTGACAGTAAAAACATGTTAATAAAATACAGCACATGTAATTTACAGTTTCTTAATATTACAAAAGAAAACTGTGTATTGAGAATTTTCCAGAGTAGCTATGGGTGATATTTACAGTCATCATACACATGTAGGCTATTTTTTAATCAATTCAAACAGATTTTTATACTTTTAAATGTAAAAGCTTTTGTTTTTCAAAAGCAACAAGCTGTTCCTTACCATTATATTGATGAACAAGCCAGTAACCTAGCAGTTAACCCATTTCATTATTTTCTAGATGTTTTAACTGACTATATGCCCATGAATTTTCAGTTCTATATTTAACCTGTTATTAATATAATGAAACGTATTTCAAAAGGGACTTTGCTTAATGTGGCCTTTGTCTGGATGAGCTTCCCTCATCATGAGTCAGAATTTAGAGAAGGACTAATCATTTCATATTTTGAAAAGGTATGCTTCTCAACATAACACATGAGCAATTATTACTTTTGAACAAGTTTGAATTACCTCTACAATTTTTTAAATCATGAATTATCACTTATTTCCTATGAAGCCACTAATATGTTGTATTTAAACCAACACTGCAAGATACATATTATTACCTCCAATTTATAATATTAAGCTAATCATAGCAAGCACAAACCTTTGTCTATTATGACTTCAGTGAAGCTGGAAAATATCCCATGAGTGAACTCTATTGCTCTTATAGCAATTCATATTTCCTTAGAAGAGACACTTTCCTCCAATTAATAAAAATTGAAGCCGGGCGGTGGTGGTGCACACCTTTAATCCCAACACTCGGGAGGCAGAGCCAGGCGGATCTCTGTGAGTTCGAGGCCAACCTGGGCTACCAAGTGAGTTCCAGGAAAGGCGCAAAGCTACACAGAGAAACCCTGTCTCGAAAAACCAAAATAAATAAATAAATAAATAAATAAATAAATAAATAAATAAATAAATAAATAAAAATTGAGGTTCATTTCCTTATATTGGGGAACCCTCCTAGACAGAAAAAAAAACATTATTTTCTTCCTGCTTAAAATTTTAGGGAATGAGAATCAGACTGTGATGGTGGGCTCCAGGGTAAACCAGTAGGCCAGTTTGGAGCCTTCTCCTCTGCTTCCCCCAGATGAAGTGAACAAGCTGGGGTTCTGTCTCAGGAAAAAGCAATGGTGTCATGAAGACGTGAGACCAGGCAAGGAAATAAACGCCACTGTTTTATCCATCACAACTGAAAATGTAGTCTTAAGTTGCCAATTAAATGTTGTTTGGTAGCCATAGCCTTCAAGTATTCCCATTGTGGGACTCTAGGCTGCCATGGAGACAGGAAAGAGGGGCAGCAGTGCTGTCACATCTGAGCAAACGCAGTCGTCATCTTCAGTCCTCCTTCCAGCTTATAAAAGAAATTATACTTCTTTTATTACTTCTCCCGACAACGGCCTTTGCTCTTCTTGATAAAAAACTTTTCGGGCCGGGCGGTGGTGGCGCACGCCTTTAATCCCAGCACTCGGGAGGCAGAGGCAGGTGGATCTCTGTGAGTTCGAGGCCAGCCTGGTCTACAGAGCGAGATTCAGGAAAAAAAACTTTTCGGAACTTCTGAGGATCTCCTGGTTCTTAACACAATCTCTGCCCATCTGTCCTTTCTGTTTCCTGAATTTCACAGTTTTTGATCTGCACACAGTTTTTTTGTACTTTTACGCAATATGAGAAAAAATAGAATTAAATTTGAACTCCCAGAAACTCTGAAAGGAAGGACCAGAAAGGGCTTCATCAGTTAAGGTCTTAATTTGCGAGCCTGAGAACCCGAGTTTGATGTCCAGAATCCACCCCAGAAGAAAAGCCAGTAAACCCACTTATAGGAAAGCAGAGACAGGTGAATCCCTGGAGTTTAATGGCCAATCAGTCTCACCTCCTTGTCAATCTCCAGGTAAGAGTTTGCCTTGCTTTCCTAAAAATGTGAGGAAAGATATCAGTTTGTCCTATTGCCCATACATGAACCTGCGTGCAGGCACACACACATCTCCACACATACACACCCAGGGAAACTATTGGAAGTGGAGGACTGCTGGGGCAGAGGAAGTCATTGTCTTCAGTGATGTACCGACTGATGAGTTACACATGTTCCTGTGGACAGCTCCACACCAACGCCCACACTGGCTGCCGTAGTTAATTCTACTACATCACAAAGAAAAACAAAAAGACATGAAAATAAGATGGAGAGTTAATGGGAAGAGAAGAGTGAGAGAGGAATGGGAGAGGGGAATGTGGCCAGAATTATTACATACATATATGACATTATTAACAAATAAATTAGTTAGAAGAAAGAAAGGAAGGAAGGAAGGGAAGACAGGGAGGGAGGGAGGGAGGGAGGGAGGGAGGAAGAGAGAAAGAGAGTAGGAGGGAAGGAGGGAGGGAGGGAGGGAGGGAGGGAGGGAAGGAGGGAGGAAGGGAGGGCAGGCTAAGAGAAACTAAAAGGAGCACACGCATGCAAACATCCAATAGGCAGGAAGGTAAAGGTGCAGAAGAGGAGGGGGAAGGTGTGGGTGGGATGAGAGCTGGAAATGTGACATCTTCCTTCCTTTGCACCGTCACCTAAAGTTAACTCTGCCTTGCAAAGGAAGTTTATGAACATGTCCTTAAATCTATTCTTTGGAAGAGGCTTCTGGAAAAACACCCAGGATTGTTTCAATCTCTTTGTTGAACGCCCCTCATATTCAAACACAAAGCTTACATGCTTGCTACATTGAAATAAGAGTCTTTGCTAACTCTTCTCTTAATCCCTTAAGAAACCTGTTTTTTTTTCTTTTAGAAGAGTTACTAGTTATATAATCATAAGACTTTCAATGTATTGAATATAAAATATCAAACAACCATTATTTTTGTCAGCACTGATTAAATATCTAACACGTTTCAGGTTCTCTCTCTAGGCTATAAGATAAATTAAATAAATTCAGGCCTCTGGCAGTAATTAAGGCATTTATGAATATAAATGAATGAAGATGACAGACCCTGAATTAGTTGTGAATGGAAACTCTGGAAAAATTCACAGGCCTTTTCTGGTCACTAGAAAAACTTAAACTTAATGGTTTGGTTTCTAATCTGCCTGATGGGTGGGCTATGCCATACAAATCATGGCTCACAAAATTCTTGGGAAGAACATACTTTTGTATAGAAATAAAAAAATATAAAAATAAGCTGATGAAGGAACTGGGCAATGCCAGGAATCATAAACGCCATGAAGAACAAAAATGAAATAGAGTAGTAGAAAATTCTGAAGGATTTCTTTAAGTACCAGGAAGGATTTTCTGAGATGACACAATGGGCCAGCTAGGACTCAACAGTCAAGTGAGAAGTAGCTAATGAGACATGAAACATGTATTTCAGGAACAGATAAAAAGCCAACTCAAGTTTTTTCAGACTGTTCCAGGAAGAAGCCATTCTGGATAGAATGCAATACGAGACAGGAGGAGTAGTGAGGATTGACCTGATTCAAAATGGCACAGCCTAGATCATGTCAGGCTTTTAATGTCACAAAAAGGAGCTGATTAGAATGTAGTGAGAAGCTTTCGGGGATTCCAGAAGGAGCTAGAACCAGAAATAGAATAAACTCTATTCATCTACAGTCACCTACAATCAGGGGAGAACGCTGGAGTGGGAGAAAGGTGTTGGAAGCTGTGTTGGAAGTAGGCTGGGGAAAGACAGTTTAGGGATCAGAGTCAGCCCATGAT